CCCCAAAACCCCAAAACCCCAAAACCCCAAAACCCCAAAACCCCAAAGCCAAATAAAATTATAGAATAATTTATAAAATGGATTTGTCAAGATTAATAAGGTTCATTCTGCGAATCCTCATAGTTGCGATCGTAATCCATGCTTCCATCAGGGTCATAAATGATCAAGGCAAGATTAAATACAATCAAAATTCCGAAATAAAGGCCCAAGTGGACATGAACACAGATATGCTAAAGGAGAATAATAAAACTGCTCAAAATATGGCAATAAATCAAACCAGAGCATCTAATTCACCAGAGGTTACTGTAAATAATTCAACTGATCCTATTGACCCTCCAATTGAAAAGAAAGAAAATACAATGAAATGAGAAAACAACAGAAAAGCTGAAAATAATACTCAGACTGAGACGAAAGAACAAGAAAAAGATACAGAGAACATAGAAGACAAAGAGCCTAAAAATGACCAACCTAAAGATAATAAGAAAAAGAAACTGAAGACAGGAAGGGTAACTATAGATACTAGTAAAACTAAAACTAAAACCTCCTCAAGAAAGAAAAGTAAAAATAGAAAATCAAAGCAAAATACCAAAAGTTCATCAAAGCAAACGGTAAAAGCCCCAAATGTGAATAATACAAACTCCAGCAATAAGTCACAGATTAATACAGGCTCAGGTACTTATTCTTCGTCCCTTATATCTTCCTAGAACACAGACAAATCTACTTCAAAACAGTCAATTAAAAATACCTTTCTAATTACTAATATAGAGGATGCACTGAACAAGACTACAAAGGATAACAATCAGACTACCGTACAGCCAAGCACAGAATCTTTACTTCCGAGTAACTCTTCTGAGGTTTTAAAATCTGAAACTTAGTTTTCTTCTATTTTTACTCTCATCGGCTACTATTACTTACATTTGACGAGACCCTTTGAGTATGATTTAGTAATAAACATCCTTTTGGAGTATTTTCATGTAAATATTCATGGCTCATCTGCTTGAAGATGGTAATAACATCTCTCACTATAGAATTCCAGAATACCTCCTCAGAACCTAAGGGCTTTAGCAACAGAACTTCTCTATTTGAAGAGAGAATAGTCTTTCTCAACCACACATTTACAAAAGTCCAAGACTACATCTGATCTATCTTTGGTGTTCGATCATGCTCTCTAACAAGGCTCCTCTTTGAAAGAATACTGGCAAATGCTGATAAACTAACTCTCTTATTCGCGTACTTTCAAATCCTCCTCTGAATTGCTGTAATTATAAACTGTAAACAAGCAGCCTTATCTCTCAACTCCAGCTTACTAATCACAAGTCTATTCTCCCTAAAACTGCCCATATTCTGAACCTCATACCTCAACACAAAGTACCTCCTCCTCCTCCTAATCCTCTTCTCCACGCTCGAAATAGTCGCCTTCTCCTGGAGAACCTCCATTCCAAAACCCCCTGGCTTGACTCCTTTCCTCAACTGCCCGAAACCTACTGTAAAAGAAGAGATTAGGAAGCCTGATGCCCACAAAGCTCCAGAACTTGAAAGAAATTTATAAGGTTGTAGTACAAGTTTCAATATTTTTTATGGGCACGGGGTTTTGGGGTTTTGGGGTTTTGGGGTTTTGGGG